AGGTGTGTACAGTATGTGGGCAAGTGAATTGCACGGTCTGTCCCTCTCCCTCACTCTCGTTTGCTCCCGTTCTCTCTCTCTCCCTCTCTCTCTCTCTCTCTCTCTCTCGCTCTCGCTCTCTCTCTCTCTCTATCTCTCTCTATCTCTCTCTATCTCTCTCTCTCTCTCTCTCTCTCTCTCTCTCTCTCTGTATGCACACGTTTATGTATTTATCTACTTGTCTCGCTCAGTCTCTTTCTCTCTCTCTCTCTATATAGATAGATAGATAGATAGATAGATAGATAGATAGAAATACACCCTGAAGATCGATCCTATCTCAGCCCCTCACCCCCTGCAAACCGCACACTGGGCGGGAGACACGATGAGCGAAGCCGCAACCAGTCCCACAGAGGCAGCAGCGAAGGTGCAAAGGATGAGGCGATCGGGATTCCGAGGCTCCCGAACGGAGAAGAGCATCCTTGAAAAATACGGTTTAGGGTCTATAAATAGGGTTTAGTGGGATTCCGAGGCTCCCGAAGAGAGAAGAGCATCCTTGAAAAGCGTCTTTTTGTGGGGTTTAAGTAGGGTTTGGGTTGTGTACACTTGACTTAACTTTAAAGCTATACATCTGTACATAAATGCATCAGTGTATAAGAAATAAGTATATATAAAATCAAACATAGCCTTTGAGATTTAGTTTGTGTTCCTCCCGGCCTTTTCGAAGGCGCATGGCTTGTCTAAGGGTAAGGGTTTAGGGTTTAGGGTTGAGGGTTATGCACTTGCAAGAATTCAGAAGGCAATAGAATGGCAAGTGGCCCAGCGACGACGCCGATAGCAATAAAAGCCGCATCTGTCCACTTGGTGAAGGCTGGGGTAGCGTCCAACGTTTCCGAAATCAAGACATCCTGGACCGCAGGTATTGTGTAGCTTACAGCACCCAGGGTTGCGTAGCATGCCATCTTCATGAAGAATTTGGGGTGCTTGGAGAGACTCCGGAGGTTTCTCCTGACAGATGGTATCTCTTCCGGCAGCGCTTTACCCGCACTCTCATCGTGTAACAGTATGAACAGCAGTATGGCGGCAGTCACTGCAACCGCCTGATAGAGCAGGAAATGCTCCAGATCCTGCCGCGATTGCACAACGGTCGGGATCAGAAACGCGCTCAAACACCAGCCTGCATAGTTGGACTGGACACCGATACTCGTGGCCAACATTTGCAGTTCAGGAGGAAACCATCGCTCACCCATGACCGCATAAGACATGCAACACACGGCGAAGGCCACTCCGATGGACACGGTTGAGGCCATGCACATCGCCCAATTGCCCTGCACGGCACTAAGCCATCGTAGCCACGCGCCGATTGTGTTGAAAAGTGCACCTGCGCCGAACACGTAATAGCTTTGGCGCGGCAAGAAGTACGCCACTAAGAATGCAGTCGGTAAGGTTGTGAAGAGAGCCAGACTGTATGTCATAGCGATGTCACCCACGTCGACGGCAAATGTTCGGGAGCTGAGATCACTCAGCACCACGAAGTCCATGAACATCACCGCATTTGCTGCCGCACTGTAGCCGAAAGCAGCTAAGGTGAGCCAGCTGCGCCACATCGCCATGGCGCATGCAGCAACGATCCTAGTGCTCTGCGACTTTGGAAGCTCGACCATTCTTGAAAGCAACACAAGAGTCCAGACCGTACGTGCTGCGATGAAGTCTAGCTCTTGAATCCAAGAGTGCGGAAGCGGAAACATGTGATGTCGGCAGTGCTTGCATGCTGTGCACGTGTGTGGACATTCGAGATTTCCTGTTAAGGTCCCTCATGTAAGCAAAACAATCGCAGTTCTACCCGTTCTGCCCAATTATTGCACAAGCATTTGCAAGAAGCGCCTCAACACGAGGCTCTCTGCGACCGGTGCAGTGGCTGCAATGTTGAGTGGACGACGAATGCTTACCAATTCAGTTGTTGAGAACTTGTCTTCCATAGGCTCACGTGTATGATCCCGTAATGTTCACCTTCACGTATGCTTTGGGTTATCCGCGCAGGCACCGTGATCATGGAGAAATAGCCATACTGAGTCCTATTGCAGAAAAACCTTCCCTCGTGAAAAGCGCTGGCTCCAGGTTGGAACAGAAACGCTGCAGGAGTTCAGGCACACAGAAACCCTTCTTTCTCATCCTCGCGCTGCAGGATCAACGGGGCCTCAATCGTTGAAGTAGGGTTTGGGGGCCACCTATAGTACAGCTCTGACTAGGAACACTGGGGCCACTAGGGAACACACTTAGTATGTATTCCGGGCGCCATAGTATCCTCTTGGTTTGGAGGATTCCAGTTCCGCCTTTGGGGTCTCAGGCTTTACATGCTAACTGTCGGAAGTGCTGCAAATGATCCAAAATACCTATATCGTAGAATTAGGGTTTCTATTCAGTGCGTAGGAATGCACAAGAAAGTGTACACTTTTCAGTTCTATAAGGGGTCATATTATCCCAAAAGGTTTGAAGTGTAGTAACTCAACAACTAAGTGCTATGAAAGTCAAGGGTGTTGGCTCAAGGTTTGAACTCGGGCCCCCGAGGTTTGCGAAGGCATGCTCTCGTAAAAGGAGTTGCAGCACAGTACACAACTCTGCAGAAAACAATCAGGGATCTTTTGGGCGCCTGGGCTTGACTTCGAGGCACGTGTGGGTTTGGGTTTGATGTCCCCCCCCCCAAACCTCGCAATTCTACATATGCATCTTGCTTCATACGCAGATAAAACCAGATCCCACTCCTTGTAGGTTAGTGGCTACAGTTCAGAAGTGTAGGAGTGCGATATACTGGGGTAACAAACGGGTGATACAAGTAGACTGCACAAAACTTGGAGGCGTACCCCAGCATCGTACATATTGTATACATATATGATTTATATATATATATATATGTATATATACATATGCAGATATGTGATGTCTTTGGGTGTGTAGGGTAGGCAGGTAGGTAGGTAGGTAGGTAGGTAGGTAGGTACGCAGGCAGGCAAGCAGGCAGGCAGGCAGGCAGGGAGGCAGGAAGGTAGGTAGGTCGGTAGGTGGGTGGGTTAGGTAGGTAGGTCTGCCATGAGGTAGTAGGTAGGTAGGTCTGCCATGTTTATCGCTATATTTGTACATGTATGATGTACATGTATGTATCTATACAGATGTAGGCGCGAAAAATACATACATACATACATACATACATACATACATATATACATACATACATGCATGCATACATACATACATACATACATACATACCTACATGCAGAAGAGTGACCGAAGCGGCCGAAGATGTAGTTTGCTGCAGAGTCCTCCAATAAAGTCAATGCTTTCGGGTCCCCGAGCTACTGTCGATATTGATCCCAACAGACCCCCAAAAAACGTGGCCCTAAACCCTAAACCCCTAAACGCCTCTGAAGTATCAAGGACACAAAACTGGGGTCTCAACAAGACCAAGGTTGATCCCTGTGTAGAGTATGTCCCTCCCGGTTTAGGGTTTAGGTTGGTTGGTTGGTTTAGGGTTTAGGGTTTAGGGTTTTAGGATTTAGGGTTTAGGGCATATGTCCCTCCATACACCCGAAGCCAACCTCTTTGATGAAGACCCTGCTCACTGCAGTGCATGGTGCAGAGGGGAGGGGGGACTAAGAACATGTCGCTGGGGTCCTATAGTCCTTTGGCCTTCAGGGTCAGTTCGCAAAAAAAATCAAACCTAAAAACCATCCATCATACAACCATGTACCACGTGAAGCATTTAAGACCTCTAAACCCCGAAACCCCAAACTCTCTACTGTGGCCTAGACTGTAGCCTGTAAGCACTTGAGGACCTCGCCCTGCGATGGGAGGTTAGGGCTTGCTGCCTAAGCTGTACCTTTAGCCCCAAAGCCTGACCGTTTTAGGAGTTATATAGAAACCATAATAGGGAACCCTGAAACGGCAGGGCTTTTCGGCTACAGGCAAATCTAAAGTGCATCGCTGGTTTGGGTCTTGTCGGTCTTTGCGGGGATCTGGAAGGTTCTACTTGGCTGACTTAGTAAGAAGGGTTGTACTGTTATCAAGATTCCCTTGTAGATCCGTTGACAAGACAGCCCCCGACAAACAACAACAGCAGCAACAACAACAACAACAACAACAGCAACAGCAACAGCAACAACAACAACAACAATCTGACTTATACAATGCCCCGGGCCGTTTGCACTGGAACTAGGTTGTCGGAGCAACCGTACCAGAACTATAGAGAAACCGAAAGGAATGCCATTAGCAATGTTTCCGAAGCTTCTTGACACCTAGCATGGCGTACTTCGAGGAGACTCCACGCCCACAAAGGCAAGGACTTGAACCCCACCATCCGAACCCTAAACCCTAAAGGCCCTAAATCCAAAACCCTCTTTGACCCTCAATTTCCCAAACCCCAAAACCTTCATAGACACGTGTAGACACATAGGATAGAATGCAACTGGAAGCTTCGGAGTTTGGGGTTTAGGGCTAAAGCCTCCGCCATAAGGATTACTCCGCCGACCGAAGACACTGGGCTCTTGGCTTGCTGGGGCAGAATTGGTTCATGGTCGGGATTGTCTTGAACATTGTCTTGAACTGGTTCCTTGTTGGGGAGATATTAAACATGATCACTTTTAATCCTTAATGGGTTTCATTAGCAAAAACATGTAAAATGGTATCCAACAAGGACCCAGTTGAGCTATGAAACCCTGCAAAACTGTTACCCAACTAGGACCAAGAGAAGAGTAGGCCGAAACCATCCAAAAGAGGGTGACTCTACTCCAAAAGGGTGCCAAGTACCTATGTAGTTGAACGCAGAGTTTCTTGAAGGGCTCCTTTCAGGGTTTAAGGGTCCCCTTCAAAAAATCTTAAGTACCTATATACTAGAATGTAGGGTTTCTACGATACCGGAATTACAAACTTGGTTTTGGAAATTATCCCCCCATAACAGCACCTAACACCCTGCGGGACTGGCCGAAGGATGATGTGAGATACGCAACATCTTGGATGGAATCCAGGGCCCTATCTAGTGGTCTCATCTAGTCTCTATTGGGGTCCTGAAGAGGCCAAATGCAGCCCTTAATTATGGGATCTTAAGGACAGGGAACCCTATGCTCCAAAACCTTACTAATTACAGCAGCCCTAAACCCGAAACCCGAAGAACAAGAAAATAGCACCAGATCCCCCCTAAACCCTAAACCCTAAACCAGATCCCGGCCCGCCTGCACCCAGCCGGTATGCTTCGAGGCGCTGCGGAATTTCTCCGCTGCAGCCGCGCGGACGCATTCGGGCCGCTGAGTCGCGAGGCTCATGAGAGAAATCCCGAAATCTGGGGCTCCAAATAGCCCAAAGTAGGTCCTATTTATAGACTTTAGGCCCCAAAGTAGGCACCATTTGCATACTTGGAGCCCTTGGGGTAGGGTTTTGAGCCTCAAAGTAGAAAAACCTGAACCCCTAAATTGCTGGGTTTAGGGTTTAGGGTTCCCTAAATTGGGTTTAGGTTTCAGGACTCTCTAAATCCCTAAACCATTTAATTGGGGGAGTGGGAGTTCACAAGGTTTAGGGGTTGGGGCTTTTGGCGTGAGTTTGTTAGAGCTGGAGGTTGGGTTGCGGTGAGGGATCCGACGCGGGTTTATCATTTATATAGGGGCTTAGGGTTCCGAGTTTAGGGTTTAGGATATAAAGGTTACTGTGAGGCTCCACGCTTAGGCTTTCAAAGTCTTTAGAGCTCTAGGGTTAAGGGTCTGAGGGTATGATCGTTGGAGTGAACATTTCAATCAGGGTTTCTGCCCCTAAACCCTAAACCCTGGGTTGCGAACATATCAACAAGACACCTGCAGCTTTCTCGAACTAAGGCATGCAGCAGATGCAACAGGCTGCGGTTGTATTTTGTTCTAAATTCGGGTTCCCTTGAATGTCCCACCTGAGACAAAGACTGGGTTTAGCAAGTCTGCGTTTCCTTGGAGTTGTGCAATGCAGAGTTTCGGTTACGGAATAACGAGGAAATCATTCATGGGTTATGCTGGAATCCGGATGGCTCAGTCATCTGGAGAGTCCTGACAGACCACGCCAGCATCGGTGTACCCGGCTCCCTGACGGTGTGAGTAGGGAGGGCTGCTTCAGTCCAGCAACTTCCGGGTTTAGGGTCTGGTTTAGGGCTTATGGGTTTAGGGTACTTCCGGGTTTAGGGTCTAATTTAAGGTTTATTTCGTTTAGGGCTTCGGGTTAAAACACGTGATTAGAATAGAGTTGTGGTTACTAATGTAGGAAACCATTACACCGGAACACCCGTGCCAATGATTGAGACTCGCGCACGTAAGGACCCTAAACCCTAAACCCTTACCCCTAAACCCTATGTTGGATGCACGCAGGTGGTCCGGAGTATGAAAGGAGAGGTCCCGGGCTTATCTACTTGGATTTTTTTGGGCACGGAGGACAGAACAGTAACTAGGGGCCGGGGTTTAGGGTTTAGGGTTTATGATTTGGGGCTTAGGAGTTTAGGGGTTTATAGGGGTTTATTACTTAGGGATCGAGTACCCTAGCCCAAAAAAGGTTAACCGTTTGAATTCTATTGGATTTATATGAGCCCCAAGAGGTCAAAGGTTACC